CGGTCTCCTGCGAGAACAGGCGGCGGGGAGGGGGGGGGGGAGGGGGGGGATTAATGACTCCCCTCCCTGGCCGCCCGATTGGCCGGGAGGCCAGCACCATTCTCTCTGGTGACGAGGAAGCATGGAGCCGGCTGTAATGACTCGCTGCCTGGCTTCCTGATACCGAAAGTTTAGGTATCGGCAAAGGCATCATGAGCATTTGGGCAAGTGTGAGTACTCGCCCAAATACTCGGTATCGGCACAACTACTGGTATCGGTGCATCCCTAGTCCTATTAAAACTCAGGAAAGCCCCTAATTCTAAACACTATGCCATGACCCCAATCATGGACCCAGTTTAAACCCCCCTGAAACTCAAGTGAACCATCAATCCTAGCTGCTAAACCCAAATCATAACCCTTAACTGATCCCACATACCCAACTTCTAAGCCCTACACCAGGGGTAGGCAACCTCGGATCTGCAGCTGTCGGGGAACTACAAGTTCCATGAGGTATTGCAAGACTGACAGTCTGTCACGATGGGAGTTGTAGGTTCAGCACAGCAGGAGTGCCAAGGATGCCTAACCTGCCTTACACTTTAACCCTGCATGTATTCTCCAATCCTAACTCTTACACCAAAAACTAGCCCGGTCATTTCAAACTAGTGTTCCATGGCACCCTACAGAGGTTGCAAAGAGTCCTCAGCTCAAATATGGACTGGAACAAGGTGCGTTAGAAGTTTCCTTCCGCCCGAGGAGGACTAGCGGATCTACACTGTTCAGAACCGGCGTGCGTGGACCTCCATTTTCCTGTACACATGATCTACGACTGCTCGGTAATCTTGGCATCTGTGGGAAGGCAGGGTGATGGCATGTAGGATGGCGCAGTCAGCCCTGACAATATCTTGTTGCTGGGCTGCTCTCTGTCCAACCAGTTCATATAGGAGGGCAGTATCAGCAGAAGCTCACTTCACAGACTCCGCTTTCTTCACCCTCCAAGCTCATCATTACAGAGCGCCGGTCACCGCCTGGTCCTAAAATGGTGATCAGCCGTTTGCTTACTCAAAACGATACAGATAGTAGGAACAATTTTGTCTAAGGACACGTTCACACCAGATGGTGCGTTCCGGCCTGATTCTAGCCAGAACGCACTGCGGCCGGCTCACTTTTCTGTGGGGCAGGAGGGGACGTGGCGGGCCATTGAAGTGACTGGCACCGTAGCCACGCCCTCCGGCCGCACGGGATCGCAAGGCATTATGCTTGCGGTCCGGTGCGATCGACATAGTGCTTGCAGCATTTTGATCGCACCGGACCGCAGGCATAAGGTGCATTGCGATCCCGTGCGGCCGGAGGGCGTGGCTACGGTGCCAGTCACATTGCACTTAAAAAAAGTGTCTCTACCGGCTGCCTCTCATAAGGACGCACCGATACTAGTTATCGGTGCCGATACCAAGTATTTGGGTGACTACTTGTCCTCGGCCAAATGCTACAATACCTCCCCCGATACCGGAACTTCCGGTCAGAGGAAGATTTCCTCTGACTGGCACTGCCGTAGGGGAGAATATGGAGCCGGCCTCCAAGGCAGCCAGCTTTACGGCCAATCAGAAAGCCCGGTGGCGAGTCATTACCTGCGTCCCGGCTTCCTGATTGGCACCGTAGCCACTTGGGCAGTCACTTCAATAGCCCGCCACGCCCCCCTCCTGCCCCACAAAGAAGTGAGCCAGCCGCAGTGCGTTCTGGCTAGAATCGGGCCGGAGCGCACTGCATCTGGTGTGTATGGGCCCCGAGAGCAATTTCCGGGCTGAGAATTGGCTCCCACGTTCCTGAGCTCACAGTTATAAAATACGCCCTCTCCCAGCCACTGTGATGTGAGGGGACTGACAACCTATAACCCTTTCCCGACGTTACAATGAATGATCACCATGTACAGGAGTCTACTGCTATGGAACAGCCATGGACAACATACACTTCAGGTTCTGAAGCACAAACACCGACACTTACCGTCTGTAAGAGATTCTCACACAGTTTCTTAGCAGCTGCCAGTCCCTCGGGTTTTGGGTGACTGTTGAGACAAAGATAACGTTCATTACCATACTACTAAAAAGGGAAAAGAGGTACAGTCCTTCTACAGGTGTTTCATTGCACTAAAAAAACTGGCTCTACCGGCTGCTTCTCAGAAGCAGAAGATGGAGATGGGATTGAAATCAGGTTGCAATGCAACAGGGATGCACAGATACCGATACTAGGATCGGCGCCTACTTGTCCTCGGCCAAATGCTACAATACCTCCCCCGAAACTTCAGGTCAGAGGAAGATTTCCTCTGACTGGTACTGCCGTAGGGGAGAACATGGAGCTGGCAGCCAGCCAGCTTTACAGCCAATCAATAAGCCCGGTGGCGAGTCATCATTACCTGCTGCCCGGCTTCCTGATTGCCCAAGAAGCCGGCTCCATGCCGTTTGGCCGGCACGGAGCCGATTTGCTGGGAAGCCAGCTTGGAGCCAATCAGCTCCGAGCCGGCCAAACAGCATGGAGCTGGCTTTCCGACCAATCAGGTAGCCAGGTCATTACACACCGCCTGGCTTCCTGATTGGCCTAGGACACCCGATAGATGATTGGCTGGGAAGCCGGCCTCCCAGCTAAATCAGCATCGAGCCAGCAAAACATGGAGTCGGCTTTCCAGCCAATCAGGAAGCCGGGTGGCATGTCATTACCCTACAATGCAGGTATAAAACGTAAGCAACCTTTAAAAAAGGAGAACTATGTGGTCAGGGCTTTCCCCCATAGTTCTCCTAAGGGTAACGGGAGGACACAAACTAGCATCCTCCCGCCACCCTAATCTCAGTAGACCGCGAGCTACAGCTTGCGGTAAACCGAGACGCCGCAGCTGAAACGGATCCCGACAATTATGTCTGGATCCTCCCAGCTGCGTAAGTGACAGCTGGCTCTGTCTATCTAGAGGCAGCTGTACCCGGCCCCTCCCCCGTCCGTTCCGCCAGTAAGCGCTGGAGGATCGGACAGGGGAATCCAGTCACTCCCCTGTCACGGTGCTCTGCTGTGACAGGATCGAGAGGTGAGCGAGCGCCGGTATGTGTTCACTCACCTCCCGATCTACTGAGCCGACCTGTGACAGTCTCATTGTCACAGGTCGGCTAGAACTATGAGGTGAGAGAAAAGCACTCACCTCATAGTTCTCCTTTAATCAAAATGGAGTATGTGTACTGATCCTGATGAAGGGGCCCCAAAAGTGCTTGTTTTGATGACATTTTTAAGTAAAAAAAAAAAAAAAAAAAAAAATTACACTTTAGATTTCAAATCCCTTTGGTGTGCCAGTGACCTCTAACATTGACTGGCGGCAGCATCCGCAGTCACTACAAGCACCCGCCCCCTTGGACTGGGGGACCCCCGGTAAGGAGTGCGACAAGGCAACTTTGTACTCACAGTGTCACGCACCTGATATAAATATACATGGGCTCGAAGGCTTCTCGGCCGGACGCGGGCTCGATGCAGCCGGAACCTTTCCCTCGGAGGAACACCTTCGCTCCGGTCTCCATCTGGATGTGCTGGAGGTAAGAACAGCCGGGTCCTTCCACTTTCTCCTTCACGTTAAACGTACCGATGGCATGCTCCAAGCCCACAAAGAGCTTGTCCTGTACGTAATGCATCTGTGGAGATGACAAACAAAGTCACAAGAGGCCAATAAATCAAAATCGCTGAAACAACTTAAAAGTCAGAGGGATTCCAGCCACCTCAAGAATAAAATGGCCAACACTGCTCCAAGCAACCATACAGGTCCCATAAGAGGCACAACACCGACCCCAGTGACCGCACCCACGTCCTCCTAAAAGTCTGCACAGCCTCTATGATACGCAAGATCGTTTTAAGGATCTATGGGACCCGTGAATAAAGTTTACGAGCTCCTCAAAATACCAAACCCTCTGCACCCCATAGATACTCCCAATCGTTAGGCCTATCCCCTGTAGAACCTTTAAAGGGACAGTTGAATATTTGCGCTAATACTTTAAGCTCTTGAGGATTCATTGAAACTAGGGACACACTGATACTGTTTTTCGGCATCGAGTACCGATATTTTATTCCGGTATGCACAGATACCGAAAGTCCTATTAAGGAAGCCAGGCGGCATGTATCAGGAAGCCGGGTGGCGAGTCATTACACTTCGCTTGGCTTCCCCATTGGCCGGGAAGCCGGTTCTATGCTACCTTGTCACCAAGTGTAATGACTGGCCGCCCGGCTTATCAGGAAGCAGGGTGAAGTGTAATGAGTCACCACCCAGCTTCCCGATTGGTCGGAAAGCTGACCAATCAGGAAGCCGGGTGGAAAGTCATTACACTTTGCCCAGCTTTCTAATTGGCCGGCTCTATGCTAGCTCGTCACCAAGTGACGAGAAGGCATGGAGTTGGCTTTCTGGCCAATCAGGAAGCCGGGGGGGGGGGTAATGACTCTCCCCCCAGCTTCCTAATAGGCTTGGAATCTGGCTCTATGCTCCCTTGTCACTTGGTGATGAGGGCGCATAGAGCCGGCTTCCCGGCCAATCAGGAAGCCGGGCGGTGTGTAATGACACGCTGCCCAGTTTTCCGATTGGTCAGGAGGCCGGGCGGTGAGTCATTACACCCTCCTGACCAATCAGAAAACTGGGCAGCAAGCCATTACACACCGCACGGCTTCCTGATTGGCCGGGAAGCCAGCTCTATGCGCCCTCACCACCAAGTGACAAGGGAGCATAGAGCCAGATTCCAAGCCTATTATGAAGTCATTACCCGCCCCCGGCTTTCTGATTGGCCGGGAAGCCAGCTCTATGCGCCCTCACCACCAAGTGACAAGGGAGCATAGAGCCAGATTCCAAGCCTATTATGAAGTCATTACCCGCCCCCGGCTTTCTGATTGGCCGGGAAGCCAGCTCTATGCGCCCTCACCACCAAGTGACAAGGGAGCATAGAGCCAGATTCCAAGCCTATTATGAAGTCATTACCCGCCCCCGGCTTCCTGAGTGGCCGTGAGCTGAGTAATGACTTGCCGTCTGGCTTCCTGACACCAGAAGTTCTGGTATCGGGAACATTTGGGCGAGTACTCGCCAAAATACTCGGCACCAATACTAGTATTGGTGTATCCCTAATTGAAACGTTACTAACCTGGTCAGGATAAACCCACGTTATACATTACCGCAGTCCTTATGTGGACTGGAGTCATCGCTCTGCTCACATCTCCCCCTACCCCAGGGTTAGCTTTAGATATACTTTAACTCCAAAATAACAAAAGTCTACCCTTGATTTGACTGTTAAATAATTTTAAAGGTGTCCATAAAATTACTTACCCCTGACTGGAACTGAGGCTTTGATGGAGGTATGGGTGCCACAGGGGCCACGGGAGCCGGCTGGTGGTAGACCGTCACAGTGGCTCCATTGAACGTCGGGCTGGAGCCTGTGGCCGCTTTCACCACGCCATTGGTGATGATTTCCTTGATTCGGTTTACAGCTCCTGCGGACGGAAAGAAGTCGTCACTTAACACGCTTGACAATCAGCAGTCACGTGTACAATGACATGCGCTCTCCGTGTCCAAGCGCAGGCATCACCCGGCTCAGGAGGTAAAGCTGCTAAAGCCAAAAGCAACATCTACTTACGGTCAACAAGTTCCCTCGTCTGGCCTTGGACGTGAAGGTATAGCGGCCGATCGCTGTGAAAGTGACCAATAAAGACACGAGAGGTGAGGCACATACATTGCACATAGGACTACCTTCATAAGGACTCTAGGGTCTTATATCCGTCAGGTAACCTTCTGTCTACCCCCCTAACTTGCCTTCAGCCCATGTGATGCTTAGACGTTTATTAGTATAGTATATACCAGGGCTGCACCGATACTGGGATCTGTGCCGAGTATTTGGGCGCCCAAATGCTGCGATGCTTACCTCGGATACCGGAACTTCTAGTCAGAGGGAGATCTCCCTCTGACCGGCAGTGCCAAGGTAGCATGGAGCCGCCTTCCTTTCCGATCAGGAAGCCAGGCGGTGGGTTATGACCCTCCTCACCGATTGGCTAGGAAGCCGGCTTCACTTATTGCTAGGCAGGCTGGCTTCCTAACCAATCAGCAAGCCGGGTGGCACGTGATGACCTGCTTCCCGATGTGGTCAGGAAGCCAGGCTGCCTAGAACAAGTAAAGCCAGCTTCCTAGCCAATTAGGAAGCCCGGAAGCTGGTCATGACATGCTGCCCGCCTTCCTGATTGGCTTCACTTGTTGGTATGCAGCCTGGCTTCCTAACCAATCAGGAAGCTGGGCGACATGTCACGAATCATGTCCCCGGCTTCCTGATTGGCTGGGAAGCTGGCGTCACTTTTTGCTAGTGTGGCTTCCTGACCAATCAGGAAGCTGGGTCATGACTTGCAGTCTGGCTTCCTGATTGGCTAGGAAGCCAGCTTCACTTGCTGCTAGGCAGGCTGGCTTCCTGACAAAGCAGGAAGCTGGGCGACACCTCACGACTCGCTGCCCGGCTTCCTGATTGGTCACGAAGCCTCGGCAAGTGAAGCCGGCGTTCTTTCGCTAGAACACCGGCTTCACAGGCAATCAGGAAGCCGGGGCGACAGCTTATGATCTGCCTCCCGACTTCCTGATAATCTGGGTGCATGGTATCGGCGAGTACCCCCCCCAAAAAAAGGGATCAGTACTCGATACCGAAAAATCTGTGCATCCCTAGCATATACCTGCTCATTCCAGAGCTGCCAACACCCACCTTCCATTAGTCAAATGGAAGAACCTGTAATGGCTACTAAGTCTCTGGCATTGGACTACTGAATGCTGGGGGTGGAGCTTGGCTCTTCGGCTGTTTAGTAGAAAGGGCTGCTAGAGAAATACATAGGAGGGGAATTGATCAAAACTGGAGCATAGAAAATGTGGAGCAGCTATGCCTGTCAACCAATCAGCTTCTCCCTTTCATTTTGTTCAGTTAAGATTTGAAAATGAAAGCGAGAAGCCGATTGGTTGCCAGGCACAGCTGCTCCAGTTTTGATAAATTCCCCTTTATTGACGTTCCTTTAAAAGCTCATAAATGTACCAGAACTTCACTGACATCTTGCTGCACGGCTGTGCGTGGACGATACCACTAGCTACAGGGATCTATTACCGTATATACTCGAGTATAAGCCGTCCCAAATATAAGCCGAGGTACCTAATTTTACCAAAAAAAAAAACTGGGAAAAAAAAGTATTGACCCGAATATAACCCGAGGGTGGGAAATGAGGCAGCTACTGGTAGATAGATACCAATAAAATTACATTAATACCGGTATTTATTTAAAAGAAAAATAACCTAGCTCTGTAAGTGGAAAAAGGGGCTACAGGGCTACATATCATGTACTACGGATCATTTAACCCATTCATATTAGCAGAGGATAATTGTAAATCTATTGTTCAGTGCACTCTATATGTAGTATATAGTACATGTACATATAGAGTGCCTGCAACAATACATTTACAATGATCCTCTGCTAACATGAATGGGTTAAATGATCCCTAGTACAGGGCTACATACAGATCATTTAATACATTCATGTTAGTATAATTGTAAATGTATTGTCTGCACTGTATTAGCAGTATATACTCCATATAGAGTATATACTGCTAATACAGTGCAGACAATACATAATTGGTTACCGTAATAAATCCCCCCAAATCTCCCCTCACTTACTGTGATTCACTTTGCCGGAGCAGGGACGAGTCAGCGGTGTGCTGGTCCAGTGGGAGGAGCTCCAGGTGGGGTCCTAATTTAGCTGGCTTAGAGGTGCCCGATAATTACAACCCCAGCTGGAGCTCCTCTCGTCTGACCAGCGCGCCGCTGACACATCCCTGCTCCCCTGCTGTACTGGCGCTGCGGGATTTTTTTTTCTTTTCTTCTTACTTACCTCGCCGAGCGTCGCGTCACTGCTGCTCCGGTGGGCGGCGCTCCGAGCGGGGTCATCTGGCAGTCTCCGGCCACCTAAATTAGGACCCGGAGACTGCCAGATGACCCCGCTCGGAGCGCCGCCCACCGGAGCAGCAGTGACGCGACGCTCGGCGAGGTAAGTAAGAAGA